AAGTTTAAAATAAACCCTTACATGAGACAATTGTGAAAATCTTTTGAACATCAACCAAATACTTTGCGAGTACTACTCTCTGAAAGAAGCAACCCTAGTTGTAAAATTTATCCTATTGTAATGTACGCTACTACCAGTTTATTTTAATTAAAACATTCCGAATTTCATAAGAAATATTAAACATATCCACTTCAGAGAACTTTATTTTTTGCCATGTATTCATTACATTTATAAAATAACAAAATATTTCACTATGAAACGCTTGAAATATTTTTTTTTTTTGAGCTTGCAAAGTTATCGCAATAAAACGCAATTCTATACAAAAGTACGTTTATTTAAAATGCGAAATGTTTGATGATTGGTTTCAATTGTATGATTCCATTTATTTGTTTTGTCTTATGTTTTGTTTAAAACCTTACTTCAATAATGATAACGTGACGAAAAAAAACTTTTGCAAACAAAATACATGACTAAAATTTTGTGGTAGAGTCTTTTTGACAGAACATCAATTGTCTCGGACATTACGTAATCCAGTAAAATATTTGTTGTGGGTAATATTATAGTAATAGTTATTATTATTATCATTTTATTATACAATCATTTTTTAAGTTTAAACTTAATATTTATTAAGTGTGTTCATTAAAGCTTGTGTTAATAGCATGGGTAAATAAATTTGTACAAATGAATTAAATTACGAGTATAACTATGTATTGTATCCGGCATACAAAAGAAGTTATATACCTGTCCTTATAATTAATATCAATGTCATATATTTACTGAGATCGTGGGCATATATGCAGCATACAGAATAACAATACATATATTACAATTTCATGCCTTTGATATTATTAAAGCTACATCAAATTTTAAGATTTGAACAGAACATTTCAAAAAGGGCATCTTACTAGCCAATATTGAGATAAAATGTATTTTTAATTATTAATTATTATGTGCTTCCTACGTAGTTTAAAATATTTCAATTACAAAGAGCCAACATTGTCATTTCCTCTTCTACACTTGTAAGTGCAATTGCTACTTATTTCTAATACAGATTTCACCATACATGAATGTAGAGATTGAAGAAAATTTTCAAGATCTTTAGTGTAATGTTCGATACTAATATTGTAATGTTTGATACATCGTTGTTATATGTTGTAGACACTAGCATGTGTATAATATTGCAGATGATATATTTTAAACATGTCAGCAACTATGTTAATAGTATCTGATAATATTTTCAGTTATTATATGTATGTTTATAATAGTAGTTTTTTTACTAACGCGGTGAAACGTTGTTGGGGTTTGAAACTGATTTAGATTGATAATCAACAATATTGCCTCATATATATTGACGCATTTAAATTACAAACACCTATTTACTTTATTTAAACAATATATATTTATGGAATATTTTCTTCAAAACAAAAGCAAAACCGCTGAAAAAATTAACAAATGTATAGATTGCCATCAGAATAATTTCAGTAATGTTCGATACAAAATGTAGTGAACATTACAATACCTATTATGAAAGGCATATCACTTATAATCTATATCTAAACAATTTCAGTAAGGAAACCTTGCATACAGATTCTGGCTTTAGAAGAAAATAAATATTAAACGTATTACATCTTTGTTTTTGTAGTTACTAGAATCTGATATTCAGTTACTAGATTCTAAAGCCTTATTTATACAAAATTAAGAAAATTTGATTATAACTGTAAAAATACAAGGAATGTATACATTTATGCTGCATCCATGATTAAGTATAACACAAAAATGACTAGTTTAAGTCCTGGTAAATTGAAAATTAAGTATACTAAAGCCATGTTACATTTTTATTGTATTGAACATTACAGTCGCGTACATTACAGACATATGTGTATATAGATATATTAAAAGATTCGTGGGCATAATTCTTTCAGATTTTGTTATTATATATCCCTCCAAATGTAAATCATTTATTAAAAATTCCTTAATTGGGAAATAGTGCATAGAACGTACTAATTTTTAAGTAGCGAACATTACATGCTTAAGTCATCATCTGGCACAGGCTGTCAAAGTAATAGAATCTCGGTTAATTCTTAGAATTTATCATAAGAAAGATAAGTCTGGCTATAGTAGCATAAGTATTTAATTGTAAATAAACATATAAACGACTTAGATTACTAAGTTATTTTCAGTTATGTGCGGCACTTAATTTACAAGTCGCGTACATTACTGATGCCAGTAAATTTTGGCGACAGTTCTAAAACATTCTACATATGACAAAGATCAGTCTTTTCAAGTGGGTCAAGCTTCGAAAACAGATGAGAAGACATACATGCTCCTGCACAAATTAATTTTTTTGCCGAAATTGTATAGGTTTTTGGGGTTACACTAGCTCAAACACGAATAATCCAAAATGGTGACAGTCTCGAACATTACATTTCCAATAGCTTCCCTCATAAAATTTTGGTATCGAATGTGTTATCAATGAAGTCTATGGATCAAAAAATTACCTTACATACTTTTTGCACGTTCAATCAAATAGCAAGTTTTTCTGAATCACTTATGTTCAGAGTGTGCAGCGACATCAATTTCACAATTTGCGTGAGAATAAGTGCTGTATGATGTAATATCTTTTCTTACATTTTGTGTCAGATAATAATAAGATTTAGAAGTGAAATATGAAAAATTTAAATATTTATTGACATGCACTGCAAACATTGACAGCTTTACAGTCCAAATATCTATAATGTCGTTAAAGGATTTTTTCCTTGATTGATTAAGAAACTAGCTTTATAGGCATGCAAAAAATTGTTCCCTCATCCAAGCTTTAGTGATGGATGAGGGCCATTATTCTAGTAAGGCCGGAGGCCTAAGCATGTATACAAATAGCATGTTTATCGAGGTTCGCGAGATAGGTACCGCATTTCAAAGATAAAAACGCAAAATAAACTAGTCGTACTACGTCACACACATCATGATCACTCGAGCGTTTGATAATCATAATTTAAAGAAGTTTTGTTTCAGCATAAAACCCTTTACAAGAGGAGGGAAAGAAATAAGAAAAAACAATGAGGTGGGTAATGCATACATGCTTAGGCCTCCGGCCTTACTAGAATAATGGCCCTCATCCATCACTAAAGCTTGGATGAGGGAACATTATTTTTCGTAAGGCCTTCGGCCTTGCACATGTATACAAATAGCATTTTTAAAGGCATGAAACAAAACAAAGCCTGATATAAACAAACCAATATATATTCCCACACAAAAACTAATAACTAAACATTAGATAACACTGCCCTGGGGAAAGCAACCCCGGCATTATCAGGAACAGAATTTCTGAAATAAAATTTATAAAAATTCTTCTCTGTATTCCACATAGCTGTTTTAAGAATATTACTGACTGAACACCCCTTAGTATAGGCTGCTGAAACTGCTGCAGACCTAAAAGAATGTGCCTTAAACACATCTGTATTAATACCCGAGAGGGATAAAACTTCTCTCAACCATCTAGCCACAGTACTAGAAGTAACACCTTTGTATGTCACAAAAGAAACTAAAAGTTGTTTACTTTCCCGTAAACTCTCTGTTCTTTTCAAATAATGTAACAAAGTTTTCACAACACACAGTTTCTCATCAGGATCATACTTCTCCAAAACTAAAGAGAAAGCACTATGTCCTACCCTGCTTGTCTTCAACAAGGACGAAATATGGAAAACAACTTTATTGTCATGAAACACCATAAAATCAATGTTCAGCGCAACTAAAGTTTGTGCTCTTGGAGCAGTACAAAGCGCAATCAAGGCTGTAAGTTTAAATGTTAAAAGCTTTAAACTAAGACTAGACAAAGGAAACAAAGTTCTTAAGAAATTTAATACCACTGAAACATCCCATGTGAAAGAATACCTAGGTTTAGGTGGGGTTCGGTGAAAAACACCCTTCATAAATTTACTAATAAGGAAAGGCTTATCACACCAACTATTGTTGAAAAAAGGTAAAGTTTGTAGAAGCATAGATTTGTGTGTATTCAACACTGAATATGATTTACCTAGACACAATAAATGACACAAATAATTCACTACAGTACCTTCAGACGCTGAAAAGGGACTTTTACTTTGTTTATAACACCAAAAATACCAGCTACGCCAAGCGAATTCATACTGTTTGATGGTTCCTTTCTTCCATGCTTCAGTAATGACACATGCAGTTGATCTTGAAACTCCCTGACTTTGTAATGCTTCCCAGATATAACGACAGCGACCATTGTTAAAGAATTCTGTAGAGGATGTGTTTTCCCGTTGTGTTCCTGAGATAACAAGTCTCGGTGGCGAGGTAGCCTGATTGGAAAAGAAATAATATTATATAATACCAATGGAAACCAAGTAGCTGATTTCCAAAAAGGAAACACAAGAATGGCCTTATTTACCTTGTCTGATAAAACTTTGTTCATTACTTTCCCAACCAAATTAAATGGAGGAAATAAATATGGAGTAAAACCAGACCATGACATTGTAAAAGAATCATAAGCACTTTCAGTGCTTCCTGAAAACCATGAGACATATCTATCTAACTTCTTATTCCATTCAGAGGCAAAAAGGTCTATATCAGGTTTGAATAAAGTTCCACAAATTCTTTCAAAAATGTCTGGTTTCAAAGACCATTCAGTACTCTCCGAGAAATTCCTTGAAAAATAATCAGCATACACATTATCTACACCAGGAATATAGGATGCAGAAAGAAAAATATCTCTAGACAAGCACCATTCCCAAAGGTCTTTGGCCAACAAATCCATTGATAAGGAAGTCATTCCACCTAGGTCATTTACATAAGCTATAGCCGAAACATTGTCTGACTTTATCTCTATATGGGTATCCCGCACCTCATTATACAAAGCTCTGACTGCATTGAAAATAGCTAATAATTCCAGATAATTTATAGATTTATCAAACAAAGAAGAATTCCATCTTCCATTAGCAGATTTATTAAGTTCTTCATCATACGAGCCCCACCCAACAAACGAAGCATCACAATAACACCAGTATTCAACTGGTCCAGGCCTTATATGTTTTCCATTTTTGATGGTGACATTATTTTTCCACCACAACAACTCCTCTCGACTATCCTTACTGAGGACAACCTTATTATCAAAATTCATGTTAGAACCAAGACCTAACAATTTATTTCTTTCTAAGCTTCTATAATGCAATGGGGCTTCGAGAACTGCATAAAATGCATTGATCACTAACCCTATAAAAGAGGCCAGATCTCGGACAACAACAACCTCCTTCTGTAGAAGATTAGAAGCCGAAGAAACTATTTTTTGAACTTTCTCATCTGTCAGGAAAACCATAAATAAAACGGAGTCCAAAACAAAACCAAAAAATATCAACCTCTGTGTGGGGACAAGAACAGATTTCTTTTTATTCACTGTATAACCCAAAGAAGATAAAGTGTCACACATTAAAACTGTATCATTCCTACATATTTCTTTATCTCTGTTCATGCTTAAAGAGTCATCTATATAATATGAACATCTTATACCCTGATACCTAAACCAAGCATAAATTGGCTTTAAAATCTTGGTAAAAACTCTAGGAGCTGATGACAAACCAAAACACAAGCAAACAAATTCGTACAGAACTCCGTTCCACATAAACTTCAAAAACTTACGAAAATCTTTGTGGACAGGAATAGCAAAATATGCGTCAGTTAAATCAATTTTACAAAAATAATCAAACTTTTGAACCAAATCTAACACCAAATTAAAATGTTCTTGTTTAAAATGTTCGTAAACGATAAATTTATTCAAATGTTTCAAATTAATAATGGGTCTAAACTTCCCACCAGGTTTGGATACCGTAAATATGGTAGAAATATATTGTCCAGGTTCTGGTACAGACCTTTCAATGGCACCTTTCCTCAAAAGGTCCTGCACTTCCAAATCAACAACATTATGTTCTTCCTCATTAAAATGAATTTGTTTAGGAACAACATTCTGGAAGGGGACTGACTCAAATTCAATACAATAACCAGTTACTGTTTGAAGAATCCACGCATCATGAGTAAACTGTTTCCAAACATCCAAACAAAGTTTAAGCTTACCTACATGAGAGGTGTCCAGTCTGTTTAGTTTGGGGCACTTGAAACTGTTGCTGAAGCCCTAGCTCTTCCCCGTCTCAAAAGAGGGTTTTGCTGCCCATACTGCTGCTGGCTATACTGTTGCCTGCCATATTGCTGACCATAAGGCTGGAACCTGTTTGGTCTTCTTCCCCTGTAATTGACACCTCGACCCCGAAAGGATCTCTGGGGACCATAATAAGATGTACCATATTTTTCTTTTGCTAAAGAGAAACCAACATCACAATTTTTAACCTCTTTTGCAAGGTCATCACCAAATAATTTTGTGGTAATGGGTACATTAATATTACAAAGATTGGTATATTTCTTATTCAGAAAAGGCCTACATTGGTATCTACGTCTTAAAGACAGATTAAACTGAACTTGACCAGTTAAAGAAATCAAATCAGTTAAGATACTTTTTGCTTCAACATTGCTTTTAATATGATGCTTGAGCACAGAAGCCAATTTAACAACTGCAACCATCTCAGCCGCAACTATATTTTGGATATCTACCAAACAACGATCCTGACTCTGACCCTTCTTGCCTAAAACTTTCCAAACATCAAGGTTTACAGATGGTGGAGCCAAGAAATCACAATTTTCTGGCACGTTATACTTGTGCAAAATATCTGAGACACTTGACTGAGTAGTGCAAGAGGAATTAACTAGTTTTGCCAAATTCTTGTCAATACTTGGACCTTTCTCGGAAACCAAGATCTGGGGTAAATCCCACTCATCATCATTCTCTGAATTTTCATCATCATCACCAAACAAAGCCTTTTCAAGGTCTCTTCTATCTTCTTCATTGGGAAAATTCCCAGTAAAACAGTCATCTGAATCAGCTAAGGAAATATCATCAGGGTTCACCTCTACCCGTAAATTTGGTCTATTTCGAAAACTCTGCGAGTTTTCCTTATTGTTCAAACCTAATTTTGTTTTCAAAATACCAATATCATGAGGAGATAAATCTTCCAAATTAATGTCACTCTTCTTTTTCTTACTTTTCTGAGACTTAGTCTTAGACTTGGCAGTAGACTTTTTAGTCACAACTGATTTTAATTTCTTTGGGACACGAGCCCTAGACTTTTTCTTCCGTTTGACAGGAGAATCTTGCACCTCAATTTCTGCGCCAACAGCAGGCGTTACAACAATTTCAGAAGGCAAATCAGCTTCTTCGAAGCCTTCGAACTCTTCCCCAGATCTAGAGTCAGATGATTCGGCGCATAGACTAAGGACTTCGTCCTCGTTTTCCTCGTTGCAGCTCATTATTCCTTAATAAAAAGGACCAACGATAAAAAACTAATACCAACACTACGTGCCGGCAAAGAGCTGTACAAAATAAAAACTGTCTCGACCAAGAAACTTACCGATAAAAGATGAAAAAAGCTAAATAAAATTCAGCCTGAGACTACACGTGTGTACCTATCCAGCGCTCGGTAAACTATGATTATCAAACGCTCGAGTGATCATGATGTGTGTGACGTAGTACGACTAGTTTATTTTGCGTTTTTATCTTTGAAATGCGGTACCTATCTCGGGAACCTCGATAAACATGCTATTTGTATACATGTGCAAGGCCGAAGGCCTTACGAAAAATAATGTCCAGAGTAAGGTGCAAAAAACTTTTATCACCTAATTAATTCACAAGTAGCTGAAAATTGGCGCATCAAAATATTTGTAATTCATTTTGTACTTCAAGATTCCAATTTTTTTTAGAAATGACTATGATTGTTAAAATTGTTGTAATCCTTCTATTTTTAAAGATAATTGTGTCCCTTTTTCTCATTTATAAACCCATACCATTACATAATCAGTTTTTCTGTGACTTTCATAATGGTTACTTATTTATACTAGTCTTAAAGGTAAGGGGGAGGGGGCACATATGCCATTTTGCCATTTATTGCTAAAGGTTATTTACAAAGGTCAAAGGTTTTAAGTAGCTATTTTGTGTCTTCTCTTATAACTCTTTATCTTTTTAAACAGCTCTGGGGTTAATAATGAATAATTTGGTAAAAAATGTAATGTTTTTGACATGATGTGCAGATCTAAATTTCATTAACCCAGCTTTAAGCAAGGTGAAGGTCACAGTTTTTTGTCTCTTACCTTGAAGTATGTTCATAATACTTTGGTTAATTGTTTATCTCTTTAAGGCAATGTTAAGAAACTACATTTAAGATGTCTTGCTTCAAGATCAAGGTCACAGTTATAGGTAAAATGTTTGAGCATGTTTATTTATGTTTGTTTCATATCTCTTGAATTCATTGTGGGACAATGATAATACTTTGGCCCAAGTTTTTAACTCATTCAGATGACTTGCAGACACTCAATTTCAAGGTTAAGCTTCTCCATTTTCTGGATGCCCTTTAACTTTTGAACTCATTAAGGGATATTTATGAAACATGTTTATCTATTTAAGACAGTTTCAAGAATAGTTTTACCCTGTTTGTTTTATTGTTATTGTCTGTCAGTCTCTGGTTTGGAAACTATAAAACGTCTGTGTTAATGCATTACCTTACAGAATTTGTGCACATTGTCATTATAAATCCAGTATGTTGTCATTGTTATTTAAGTAAATTACATTTTTCTCCAGGTTTTTATTTTGTTGTCACCAGTTATCATATTGTGCATCAGGTTTGGTTCTTGATCTGATAATAATTATGCCCCCATTTCGAAGAAAAGGGGGTATATTGCTTTGCACTTGTCGGTCCGTCGGTCCGTCGGTCCGTAGACCAAATGGTTTCCGAGTGATAACTAAAGAACCCTTAGGCCTAGGAACTTCAAACTTGGTATGGTGATTGGTCATGACCAGTAGATGACCCCTATTGATTTTGGGGTCAAGGGGTCAAAGGTCAAGGTCACATTGACCTTGTAAGCAAAAACGGTTTCCGATCAATAACTAAAGAACCTTAAGGCCTAGGAACTTCAAACTTGGTATGGTGATTGGCCATGAACAGTAGATGACCCCTATTGATTTTGGGGTCAAGGGGTCAAAGGTCAAGGTCACATTGACCTTGTTAGCAAAAAACGGTTTCCGATCAATAACTAAAGAACTTTAAGGCCTAGGAACTTCAAACTTGGTATGGTGATTGGTCATGATCAGTAGATGATCCCTATTGATTTTGGGGTCAAGGGGTCAAAGGTCAAGGTCACATTGACCTTGTAAGCAAAAACGTGTTTCGATCAATAACTAAAGAACTTTAAGGCCTAGGAACTTCAAACCTGGTATGGTGATTGGTCATGATCAGTAGATGACCCCTATTGATTTTGGGGTCAAGGGGTCAAAGGTCAAGGTCACATTGACCTTGTAAGCAATAACAGTTTCCGATCAAATAACTAAAGAACTTTAAGGCCTAGGAACTTCAAACTTGGTATGGTGATTGGTCATGATCAGTAGATGACCCTATTGATTTTGGGGTCAAGGGGTCAAAGGTCAAGGTCACATTGACCTCTTAGGTAAAAACGGTTTCCAATTAATAGCAAAAGAACCCTTAGGCCTAAGGACTTCAAACTTGATATGGTGATTGGTCATGATCAGTAGATGACCCCTATTGAATTTGGGGTCAAGGGGTCAAAGGTCAAGGTCACATTGAACTCTTAGGTAAAAACGGTTTCCGATCAATAACTTAAGACCCCTTAGGCCTAGGAACTTCAAACTTGGTATGGTGATTGGTCATGACCAGTAGATGACCCCTATTGATATTGGGGTTAAGGGGTCAAAGGGCAAGGTCACATTGACCTTGTAGGTAAAAATACTTTCAAATCAATAACTTAAGAACCCTTAGGCCTAGGAACTTCAAACATAATATGGTGATTGGTCATGACCAGCAGATGACCTATTGATTTTGGGTCAAGGGGTCAAAGGTCAAGGTCACATTGAGGTTGTATGTTAAAACGGTTTCCGATCAATTAACTAAAAACGCTTAGGCCTAGGAACTTCAAACTTTGTATGATGATTGGTCGTGACCAGCATATGACCCCTATTGAGTTTTGGGTCAAGGGGTCAAAGGTTAAGGTCATGACCAGTAGATACTTGATAACCCTTATTAATTGTTTGATCACTGGGTCAGAAGTCATGCATAATAACCTTATCACATGACTAATTGGCTGCTGATAGGGGGCATACATGTTTTACAAACATATCTTGTTTTACAAGAATTTAGCATTAAGCTGACAAATTTCAAAAACAAACTCATACTGGAAATAGTTTTCTAAGACACCAATGCACCCAGACTAAATGATGGCTCTTTCACATTTTAATGATCTCTTTTAACGAGAGCCCTCTACAGTTCCGTTGTAGATCTCTCAACCAAACAAAAGCTGAAAAGGGTAAACATAATTTCTAAAAATATTTGATTTAAATGAGCATGCTTGTAGTTTTTTTTT